TCACACTGTTTTTTTATTTTGGTTGGAGCCTCTCCAACTGGGTGGTGTATAAGCATATGATTGCGCTCATATTTTGGTGTCAACTTTGTTGGAATTATTTTGTATAATTATGATATTTTTTGCACCCACTTCTCTTATCTCTATTGATGTAATTCCTCTTTGTTTGTTGGTTTATATCAATAAAGATTTCCCTTATTTTGCTCATAATAATAAAAATAATTAAAAAAAGCTTCAAGGAATTAGTTTTTTTTTTTTTTAAAAAACAAATTAAATCAATAAGAATTTTGTCCAACTTCTTTTTTATTTTATGTTCTATTATCGCTCTAATTTTTGTGTGCTAACATCATATTTAGGATTATTATTGATTTTGTTACGTGCATAGAATAGAAATTACTGTTTTACATACTTACAAAGGAAGAGATAGAGGGACTCTTTTCCATGCACCCAGTAATAGAATAGGAAATTACTCTTTTACATACCGAGAAAGAGATAGAGAGACTCTTTTCTATGCTTATTATGTCCTTGCTTAATAACATAAAGATATTACTATATGTTTTTTCATTCGAACTACAAGAAAAGTAGCTCTATCATAATTTTTTTTTTATCTTAACAATAATCTTCTTCTTTTTAATTATTTGTTTACGAACCCATCATACATTCCCAATTTCGAAGTTATATGTTAGATAATACACACAAAAAAATATAATCCATGTTCCTACAAGCGTTTTGATTGAATAATAAATATTTATAAAAATACTATATATTTTTTATTTTTGTTAAAATGTCACTACAGGAAATCATGGATTTAGCGACGTTTAATTAACGGCGTTTTTTTAAACGTCACCTTTTCTTATAATTAACGACGTTTTGTGTAACGCCCTCAAAAAAATATATATATATATATATATAAAACCCATCAATTAAGACATGCATTGATATACAAAAAACCAACATTCTTCTATTCATCAGAGTATTCCATTATAAAAATATTACATGTTAACAATAAAAGCGAATGCCCTACGGGCTTACAGCTTTCCAAGTTAACACTTGGTTACAACAAAAGAGTACTAACTCATACACACTTAATTAATTTGAGAAAATGAGGAATGAATTAGAAATTTGGACTGGGACATACATGTATGAGATTTAAGGGGTGTTAGTTGAATTATTCATCGCCACCAAATTGAAGTTGATATTATTATCCATTGTTGCATTTATTTCCGTTTAGAAATAACTTGCTTTGGGCTATCGTGGATAGTCTGATCTGTTGTAGACAGATGATGATGATAGGCAAACGAAAACTACATCAATGGAAATGTGTCATAGAGCATGACGGTGATAGATACATTTAACTTTTAGGTATATGTTGATTGTGTATAGAACCTATGTGTTTATAGCATTAATGTGTCGAGGAGGAGATGGGGGATGTACTCCGCGGTTTAGGAGAAGATTGAAGTGTTGGGAGGAGCATGAGGGATGAACTCCGTAGACACAACTCTATGCTTGTTTAAGAAGTGAGATACCAGCTCATATTCGTTTATCTTGAGAGAGATAGATACAGCTCATACTGCTTGTCTAAAGAAGCGTAGATACGGCTTCGTATGGCTTATCGTGGATGGTGTGATATAGTTCTTATACTTATCTGTTGATGTGTTGATATAGCTAATATGCTTATCTATTGAGTTAATGAAAAATGAGAGTACATGAACTTGTAGGTCATGAAAGTATAATGTGATAATAATGGAAGATATCAGTAATTGACCATCTTTAACTGCTAATCTTTTAGTCCATTGTTCATAGTTGGTTTAGGTGTATTTCTTACTGGGCTGTGGCTCACCCTATATGGAAATCATTTTCAGGTAAGGTTAGCATTGCCACCTCCAGGACATAGCTTGGGAGGCAGAGGCGGACAGACTTTTGGTCTATGTTCCTTTGATGTATTACAGTAAATTCAAATCAAGGCTTAATGTATAAA